AACCGACCTTCGAATCTCTTCACCCAACACTTCTACTCGAAATGGAAGTAAGCTCAACAATTATGAAACAGGAGATTCCTTGAAACCCAACTTTTCTTCGCATTGTATGCAGACACCGATAGTGACCCGGTTCAAGGCGTTCCCCTGGCGCTAGCCTCAATAAATCACTCCGGGCTTCGGTACTGAAGGGCCTTTACAATTTCTGACATTCTCATGTAGCATAATTAAGTGAAAATAAGAATACGGATAATACGAATAGTAATAGACATTAATACAAAAGTGTAAGGCTAGAAGTTAGGAGGATTCAAGCAAGTGAAGCATAGTAGGAAGTATAAACAACAAACTACCCGTAAAATAATACAAGCATATATCAGAAGTGATGGCCACACAGTCGCGAGACGAAAAGAGTTACTGAACCGAGGAGCAGGCCACTGGCCGGAACAAAGACCGGATGCTTGGCTCGGTTGCAAAGATTGCTAGAGCAGTAGCAGCGCGATTGATCCGAGGAACTTCCGTAAGTGTTGAAGCAGCCGTCTGAGAAGCGAGGCTCGAATTTGCGCAGACAGAATCGCGCCATCCCAACTGCGCTCTCTCCTTCCATATCCCAACGGGGCTTTCGGTAATCAATTGTCTCATCTTGTGTGAACTTAAGGCAGGCCACACAGTTGTGCACAATGGCCCATTTCTCCGGCTGACTGCAAGGGATAAGCGCCATACGGATCTCCCTGTTCGCCATTTCACACTCATAACAACTCAAGTTCCCGTAGGCATATCCACGGACCAGACGTGGTGGCCACAAAAGAAGGGCGAAGATGATGGAAAAAACCGCACTCGCCATTACGCGAGGCGCTTTTAGACAGGCCCCACAAAGGCCTTCATTTCTCTAGGCGTCGACACAAATGGCCGCCGTGTGCAGGTGAGGCGATCGATGTGAATGACCAATGACAATTCGCCACTCAGCGACCAGTCTGCTCAATATTACTTTCTTGAATTTTGATTGGTCGACCTATCTATAAACTGATTGGCCCTTTACGCCTACTCACTTGAGGTTAATGATTTGATGCTCCAGCTCTCGCGACCTCGTCTACAGCTCTCTCATGGTGCTTCGCACATTGTCAATGAGATGTAGCCGCGAACATGAACGTCTGTTATTCCCGGCAGGTGGCAACAGCCAAATATGGCGCTTTTTTTAAGCTTCTATTTCGTTGGCAGGGCAGCGTGTTCAAACAAATCCTACCAGATCTCCTAATCTTCTGCTTTGCTTATGCATCTCTATCAATTGTTTACAGACTCACGCCCTCAGGACCCTTCTGGAATGCATTAAGGACAGCGGCAAATAATCTGAGCTACTTTTCGAGTGGCCTTGCGACTGCCATACCAATGGGCTTTATTCTCGGATTTTATGTTACTCTTTCCGTAGGACGTTGGTGGGAGAGATTTCAAAGCCTACCGACTTCCGACTCTATAGCATTCCTGTTGTGTACATATGTAAAAAGGCCAGTTCGACGTCTCCCGATGAAAGCGGCTCACTCGGATCCGAAGCATCCCCTCGTCATCAGGAAGAGGGTCATCCGATATTGTGAAGTGTCGGCCATTTTATGCTTTCGTTCAATTTCGAGTGCCGTGTTAAGAAAGTATCCGGACTATCAGAGCCTGATTTCATCGGGACTCTTGTCGGAGAGGGAACTGAAGTGTTTAAGTGGGGT